GCATTCTTATCAAAGCTGATCGCCACTTGTGCCTCCCAGTGGCTGGGCTGATGGCTGCAGGATTGAAATCTATATAATTCTATATATATAGTCGAAAAATGTCGAAATCAGTCATCTGTGCTGTCTATGAGTCTATGCTATGATTGATCGAACACAAATTCCATCATTTTTGAAGTGCCCGTACCCTTTCCCTCCGCCTCTAAGTCCAAGCCAAAGCGAGGAGGTTTCGGTACATCGTGGCTGCATTCAGAGTCAAAGCTTTGAGAAAACTCATCCAGTGCTTCAAGATCAGCTTTGATCCCATTATGGAGGTTGAGTCGCAGTCGCCAGAGTCCCAGGCGTCCGTTGATGGCCCTTGAGGCACAAAGTAAGTCAGGAGGCCACTTCATCATACTTAGGCCTAAAGGCATTGTTAAAGAGAGCAGAGAAAAGTTCGTTCCTCCGTCTTGACTCACCCAGAGGTCTCGATGGACATCATCAGACACACCTCCCGCGACCAGTAGCACCAACGGATTTCCTGGCAATGTGGCACATGCGACACGTGCCCGAGGACCAAAGGGTGCCCGTGGGCACATGCGGGACCAAGTTCTGCCAGCAGTATCGGAAGCCCAGACATCTGCTAGTAGTCCTGGAGGACCTTGTCCTCCTATCACATAAATCACACCTTTGGGTTTTGGCTCTGGAGCTGTTGAACCACCACAACAGCCAAACTCAGATCTGGGGGCCCAATGGACACCAGCCTCCACCAGGCCCCATGATGCACCACCGTCCACAGTTCTCCAAATATCATCCGAGTAGCCAAAGTTTGGAATGACACCACCCAAAACCCAGATATTACGCCAGCCCGTGGGCGAAAGACCACCAGAGAGTGCCACATATCCATGTCGTGGTGCCCACTGGGGCCTGGGAAGCTCACGAAAAGGGGAGTGCCAAAGGCGCTCACCAATTGTGCCAGCTGCGATTCGGTCAGGCAGAATTTCCAACAACTTTCCAAGGCCTAAACTAGATCCATTGATCAGCATCCAACCCTCATTGTCCAATCTGTGCACCCAAAGCTGTCCTTGAACTCGTGAAACCTTTCCAGTAACCGTGGCACCCTTAGCTTCCACACCAACAATCTCAGCAGTCGTGGAGGGGCTTTTTCGCACAGCCACCCTTTTGTGTACAACTCGGAAGGTTTCATTCTCATCTGTCATTTGCCGAAAAAGCGCACTCTCCCATGGCGTTCTTTCTGCGCCCGCTTGTTCACCTACCTACATCCGATTTCTGAGCATGAGGTTGCGGAAGCACCCGCCACACAATCAGGTTCGATCTGCAATCTGAAAAAGCCACATGAGTCACTGTCCAATGCAAGGCCTCCTCGTAGCTCCCGCCATCGCTGTAGACCCTCCATGGTTTGGTCACCAACCAAGGAAGGTCTACAGGTTCCTTCGCTGAAAACAGAGCAGGGACCATCAGAAGATACGTCTCGCTAGTTCATTCGACCAGAGGTCGGGCATGATACTGAACTCAAGCGTGGACTTTAGGACTTCCCCTGCCTTCACTTTTGCAAAGTCACCCTGCCCTTCCATAGAGACAGACATTCGCCAAGTATTCTTCTCCTGGTTGAACAGAATGTAGGTCCGCCTCAGCGGAGGAAACTCGCACTTTGGACACATCTTCTTCAGCCGAGAAGCTTTTCGTAATCAACCTTCTCGAAAACGGGTCGTCCTCCAATCTCTTCCTGCAGATCTTGCGATCTCTTTTCATCTTCTCGTCCTCTCGTGGTCTAATTCGCGCCTCCAGCTCGACGTAGACACCGTGAATGCGCTGAGCCCTCGAGCAAAAGTGTCACGAGCGCGGCCCGCGTAGCCCGCGTCGGCGTCACACGTTCTGAGACCCAGTCATGCGCTTCTTCAAGTCACGGCCGTAAACATGAAGGGCACGGGGTCGGGGCCTTTTTTCGCAGGATTCCCAGGATGGCTTTTGCGTAGAAGTGCCAGAATGGGGGAGGGGTCTCTCAGCGTCCGGCGAACTTGAGCTTTGAGTTCGCCCATTCTGCGCCAACCTGGCAGAACGGCCGTTCGCCGATTCTGTTTTTGCTGAGAAGCACCTGAACAGCCTGCAACCTGGCCTAGTATGTCGGACGTAAAGCGAAAGGAACTGCAAAAGCACACACAAATGTAGGCTTTCAGATGTTCCCATAAATAATGACAGGTTGAAGAATTTGGAACTCTGCAGGCCACAACCCTCAAACTTGCTGGGTGGCAGCTCGAATGCTCTGCTCAGGCTCACAGTTGCCCTGCAGAACAGAATCTACCAATCACACAAGAGCAAGCAACAAGAAGGCAAAGACATCAGGTGCATTCAAGAATTCGCATGTGGGATCAAAATGACCGTACAGTCGAACATTGGTGCCAATGCTCTCTGCCAGTGCCTCTCTAGATCATCAGGGCGAGGCTTGTCAACCTGCTTGACACTCATCACAGTTCCCAACGTTCAGACTCCCAACTTCCAACTGTCAAAGGCCCATTAAGTCTCTGTCAAGTGGCACCCTCAAAGCTAGAAAAATTGAGCTTTCAGAATGACATTCTGGGGCCAACTAGAAGCCTAGCTTTCAGTGATATCAGTATAATCAGTATACACATGAGCAAGGCATCTCTGACCATCAAGCACTGTCCAAACAAGGACAGCACTTCCAGCCTTAGCTTTCTCCTGTTCATGCGTCTGCTTGGTTTTCCTAGGCATCGAGTGTGCTTTGGCTGTGCACCATGTGCACCACAAGAGCAAGCTGAAGGCTCAGGCCGCCCGTTCTTGACCTGGGCAAAAGCCACCCCACAGCCAGGAGGAAGCTTTTACTAAACATCTTTCCGCCGAAGTCAGAACTCAGACTTTACGCATCATCAGGTGGAAGAGGCGCTTGTCATGAATTTGAGACAGTGTGGAAGGCCTCTTTCGGCTGCTTGGTTCCAGCTGATGCTTTTGGCTTTTCTTTGGGCTCAAAGGAACCATTGGCATGTGCCAGTGCCTGAGCTTAGTGCAAAATCTATCTGCACATGGATCTGAGCAATGCTGTTTGTAAAGGTCTACTCAGAAGTAGTGAAGTCTTCCCTTCTCCAATCTAAAACAAAACTACAAAACGTTGGTGCTACATTGCTACATTGTTTGCTGAAGCTCTAAGCTCTCTCTGGCTGGCTGTGTTCATGCTGTAGACTCTATTTCACAGCTCGGCCTTTGGGGCTGCCCTGGGCTTTCGGGTATTACCCACCTGAACGAACGCCCAAGCTGCACACTTAACTGGTCAACTCAACTTAGCGAAACATAACCTTGTCTTCATGGTGGCATCTGCCAATGTCCGACAACATTGCACCCCCCACCTGACAGAAAGTTGCCTCTTCATCAGGCTCTTCGAGCTTTGAAGCATCTCCCTGGGAAGCAAGGTCCTACTGCCGTCATAAATAAAGGCACATGCAACACTGCATCCAGCAAAGGTGCCTCAATCTGTTCATAGAACTTTTTGAAGGCATTGACAGATGCAGCCCTTTGACCATTCCTAAGTCACACATCTTGATCTAGCAAGCAGTGACCATGGATTCTGCTGAAGCCAGTTCCCGCTCTTGTTCTTTGGTGAAGCCTCAGTCGGTGGTGTAGTGCTGTTTGAAGGAACTACTCGGCCTAGAATCGTTGCGTCTGCCCGTGCGCCTTCCACAAAGGAACCACTCCAAGAACACCCCTAAGCCGGTGACCTTTGTGATGTCAAAGTATACTTGCGATGCCATCTCATGCGGAGCCTATGAACATCTTTCGACCGGCTCAAAGCAGGCAGTTCAAGCATAGCAAACGGATCATGGCCGTGACGCACATTCCAAAGCTGACAGAGCCAGGAAATGTCAACCATCCTTTTCTTCACTTCAACAACCGTCCTGCTATCATCAGCGCCTTTCAGTTTCGAGTCACTAGAGATATCGACAGACCAGCCTTCCGATCCTCCTCAAAGAGTAAGAGAAGGGTTCGGGCATACTGCTTGGCGGTCGCCTCTTCTCGGGCAAGTCTAAACAAAGTCACTGACCAAAAAGTACAGCAGCCACTTTCCAGCCTCTTTGCGCCCTTCTTTGAGCATAGACCTCACAGTGGCATGCGTTGCCTGTTGGCACTTTTACAACTTCGCCTGTCCTAGCTGCTCTCCATAGTATTCAGAATGCTAACAAGATTCTCCATCTACCACCCAAAACACATCTGATTGATGCATGCAAGATTCTGCCAGAAGGTGTAGATCCAGCTGGGCATTTTCGATACCTGGAACCATGTGGCATCGATACCTGGAACCTCACGGACAAGCAGGTACAGGGCCTCTTCATCGGTTGCAGCACGCAGTGCCTCCATGCAACCACGGAGGTTCCTCAGCATCTCCAAATCGGGATTTCATCCTCAGCATCCCTCTGCTTTGAGGTCCCCCACCTCTTTGCGGCGATCCTCACTGTGCGCACCCGGAGGGGTGCGTACTGCTACATAGGTACTGCCTATGTGTTCGTGTACTGCCTATGTGTGCGTACAGGACGATGCCCAGAGTGCGGCTGTGCCTTTCGGCGTCGGGTTTTTTGGTGCTCAGGCAGTATGCCGAACAACTGCAGAAACAGTACTTCAGTACTTCTGCTGCCTAGTGGCCTAGTGTTTCTAATTTATTGCACCTCAGCCCTTCTTTGCAATGAAGCTCGAGGGTAGCATTTTTACGGATAATGTCGATAAATAAACGTTCAACAAATGAATAGGGTTTGTGTCTGTCTGTATACAGTTCCAAATGGAAGGGCAAAATAGGTCACAAGGCCTGGGTGGTCTCAGGTCTCACAAGTGAAAGAAGTTGTGAAAAGGTGGAGTTGGCACACAGCCCCGTATGCTCATGATTGTAATGTAAAATGAGCCAATGGCTGCAATGGCTGGAAGGATTGGGAGAAGCTCAAGAAAAATCATAAGATTTTGCTCCCCAAACTGCTGGTCACTTGCTCGAAGCTTGTGACTTGTGCCTTCCAGCACCTCGTGCCTGGCTAAACAAGCATCAGGTTGGAAGAAATCGGCAGAAAGACAAGTGAAGAACAGTTGGACAAATTCAATTGAAACAAGGCTGATGGCAAGAGTCAATTGAGCGATCTTCACGTCATCAACGGCAAGAGATCCTATTGCAAGTTTATCAGCATGGGAGGGTCCTCCAGTACATGTTCTGGTAGAGAGCTTGGGATGCCTCAAGAACTCAGCAGAGTCTCTCCCTTGAGAATTGAAAGGCTTTGAGTCTTGCACGATCCAAAGGAGGCAAGGGAGGCGCTGACGCCTTTGGCCTAAAGGTTTGAGACATTTTGAGACAAAGAGACCAACGTAACAAACCGTCAATTCTCATCTCATCAATTCTGAAAATTTCGGAAGTTCTCCTTCAATTCAATGTCCCCTTTCAGTCATGCTCAAAGAGTTCTTCAAGGAAGCTTCTCCACCCTTGTCAGCCAGCAAAAGGTTTCTCGAAGTTTCCTCAATACTCCTGTGTCCTGGCTTCTAGTCGCTTCCTTCATACCACTAAACCAATGGCTACCAGCTAAATTTTACCTCCACCTTGAAAGAATGAGAGGAAAAACAACATTTCTTCAGCAAAACTTCAGCTTCACCCACGGATTCCGAGATCAAGGCCCAGCTGCAAGTGTTTCAATCCCCGAGGGATCCTGAGAGATTGTACATACCAAACAGGTCGGCTCGTGACTCGTGCAAGGCATCACAACGTCAGGTTTCAATCTCCCACCTGGGAAGGTGCAACTTTCGGTCCTGAAGGGTTGACGATGGACAAGTCAACGGTTCAATGTGCAACTTCAAGTGCTCAAACTTCAATCAAGTTGAATTGGGAGGCAACTATTGGACCGTTCAGCCAATCTTCCCCCGATGTCCAGAAAGTACCCCTTCCTTGTGCTTTAAAACAAAGCTGGAGCTTGCTTGTCTTTTAGCAGTTTGTGCACTCGCCGCAGGTGAGTGGCTCGGAGGTATAGGTGGCCAGGCATTGAATGGTCAGCACATGTCAGCACTGCCACTATACTTTAGCAAATGCCATAGATTCCGCCATGACACACAGGTACACACAACCCAAATGCCATATTGTTTGCCAATCTCCCATGCTCCAATGCCACATGTCTAACATGTGGCTCGTCTGCCACAGGCGCAGGACGAAGGCAAGGCCACGCTTCACCAAGTCAATTGGGAATCCCTTGTGATTCTTGTGACACTTGTGCTTTCAAAGCCATGATTAGAGTCTCACCTGCTGGAAAGCCCCTGCCTCACTAGAACTAAGTCGTTCACAGCTTTGGGGTCTGGCCATGTCCGGATTCGCCATTCCCATAAAGACTATCACAAGAAACATCATGCAGCCTCTCTCATGGCCTGCAGCCTCTGCCTTGCAAGACTTGTGACAGGAATTGTCAAATGAGCGTTCGTTAGATTTAAAGAAACAAAAACACAAATTTCATCCAAGATCATGGTTAATCCTACAAAACTTGAGTAGCAGGTGACAGCTCTTGTCCGGCGACTGGACCAGTCGTGCACCTGTTTCCGTTCACTTTCTGCGGTCGCGATCGCGACTGCGAGAACGTTCACGCTTGCGCTCCTGCAGAGCTTAAGGCGAAGACTGCCAAAAAAAACATCTGGCAGAGTTCTTGCTTGAGTGTGTTCCCCGTGTGCGTGTGTGTACCCCTTGTAGTCACAGGGATTCCGTTGAATTGTTTTTTCTTTTTAGCAGGGGGACTGGAGCCGATTTGC